ATTTGCCAGCGCCCACTTTTCCCACATTTAGTGCCCCTCATCTACATGTATATTGTATTTCCAAAAGGGGCAATAGCATCTGTCACTACCCAGGTGTCCCCCCACAGCGCACCAAAATGACCAAATCTACCACAAGTGGGCGATGTCACACATGGTGGCAAACACTGCGTTTAAAAAAGCAACCGCAATAGAGGGCTAGGTTCAAGGAAATATCTTCAGTTGTGTTTAGGAATGACATTACACGTTTAATAAACTGTGCTTACTTTAGTTTAGAGTCATGGGAATGTCAGAGATGTAAAACGACGTTTAGGTTTTGATGTGCAAGGGGAAGGACCAGTGATCTCTGGGAAAGACTATGAAAAAAGATGTAAATAACACCTACCAGAAGCAGCTAGCAATGTTCTGCAGTCTCACACTCGCGTGAAATATTTACATGTGCTTCAGAAACACAGCGAGGGCGACCCATGCCTCTTTTTCTCTCACCCTATCAGGTTACCATCAACCAAATTATGTGTGCAGCCTGTCTCATTACGACACTTACAACACAATTAGGTCATATAAGTGCCAAGGATTATTTAAAGGTCTTAAATGGGAATAACAACCACAAAAAAGAAGGAGAGATTAGGACTATCGATGTTTGATAGGAAAGAAGAATCAAACCACACCTGAGCACCCACCGACCACCCCCCCCCTCTCTCTCTCTCTCTCTCTCTCTCTCTCTCTCTCTCTCTCTCTCTCTCTCTCTCTCTCTCTCTCTCTCTCTCTCTCTCTCTCCATCTATCTATCTCTCTCCATCTATCTATCTATCTCCATCTATCTATCTATCTGTCGTCTATTTCCCTCGTAGTTCCTGAGTAAACTACATCACGTCACCTTTATATAATGCAAGCGCGGCCACAGATGTAAGACAGACGACAGGTCTGGGAGTTTGGGCACCTCTATAGAGGCAGGATAGCGTGTTTAAATATCACTTGATATTTGTATAACACAAGACAACAGCTAAATGACACCTGAATAAAAAGATCTCCGCATGTTCACCCACCATAGGCAAGAACCTGTTTTGAATGCAACCCTCCCCAAACAAAATGTGTATCGCTTTCTCAACAGAAATTTTTATTTCTATAAAGCAAGACATGTAGCCTACATCTACACATTATAGTATTGTATTCACATGTCATTCGACGTATTGCATGTGTTTTTCTTATACATTTTTGTAGTTGTATGATCCCTATAGACACACTTACATCAACATTAGAAGAACAAGCTGTTGCCAGCTAGAGTTTCCCCATCTGATAAGATATTCAAATTGAATGGCCTCAATTGTTTGTGGTATGCAGAGCTGGCAAATCAAAAAGTCCATTGATGGCTCGATCGGAGAAGAATTTTCCACTTTTCAAAAAGTGATTGCTGGTACGTAAAGGTAAAAAAAGGGGTGGGGGTTTAGGTTGGTTTGAAGAGGATTGGGGGGGGGGGGG